CTTTGTTGTTTCTCCAGTGAAAGAGCTTTTTTCATTGAAAAACTTATCTAGAATTTTGAAATTTTCTTTCGAGTTTAAAAATCGGCTATGAGAAAATCAAATAAAACTCTTCAATTTCTTACCTAGAAGATGTTACTCTATTCCAAATCACACATGTACTCATTACACATTACTAATATATATTTAGTGATTTGAGATTAAAATGGAAATATAAACAAGAGATTACTTCATTTCAAATAAGTAATAGATTAGAGTTTTCTTGGTTTTAGATCAAGTGTGTTATTGTAGCTAGCTTGGGTTAGTTTATCTACTATTATAAATAGTAGAAACTAGGGCTTATTTTAGGGGTTGATTTTTGAATGAAAATTTGATGTTTATACTTCTTTGTGAGTTTGGTGATACCCTCATATCTGTTCAATTGAACCTTCTTGATAAGTCTTCACTTTTATTTTCTGAATCTCTCTGTCTTTCTTTCTACTTCTTGATAGTATATTTTGTTTGATTGATTGTAGTTCGCTTATTGTTTTTGCATCTAGGATTACATCAATTGGTATCTCTCCCTATGCCTTTCTATTTCTAAACCATAATTCTTGCTTTCTTGATTGTGGTACTAGGCAAGTCTATCCTTCAAGGCATAAACAAATTAAATTACCAAGATTTTTTTGTCACCGCTGGAAATTGTACTTGATGCATCATGGTTCTCAACTTACTTCCTTGACGACCAGGTAATGTTTTGATTGTATGCTAAAAAAATTATATTTCTGATGCAAAAGGAATTTTCCTCTAGTGAACAATATATTGTATTGTCTTTTTATTATGTTCCATGAAACTACTACTCTAGGTAGATATTAAGTGAATTTTGGTGCACCTCTAATATCTGAAGTTCTTCATGTCTTCATAATCCAATTATTAGGCCAAGTAATGGATGTATACATGTCATCTATACCTCCATTCCTCCTCACCCTGATCCAAAGTTCAAGAGAATTGACCCCAACTAGCTTAGAATTGACATATAGTTGTTGTTTATATCAATATTTTTTTGACAAATGCCTTTATCACAACTTCCACATAATGCCTTATAATGTAATTTTATACTAGTATGATCAATATACGGCTAGCTTTGATATTCACTTAAATTTTCCTTAGTTTGGTATTAGATTACTTAGCATTGGTTATTTAGTGGGTGTGCAGGAGTTTTTATCGTCCAAATATCTAGTGCAAAGAGTCACTTGGCTTGCACCTCAATGATCCATAGCTTATGTAAAAATATAGGATATAAAAGAAAATTACTAATCTTTTTTTCTATACTAAAGTATTTGGGCGATCTATTAAATGTTGAGACATTTAATACTAGAATTTTGGTATTTTGAATGAGTATGATTTGCGTACGTTGACCGCAATGATATTGAAACCCAATTTAAAATTTCCCTAAGCTACAAAGTGTGTAGAGCTCGTTCGGGAGGATGTTCCCACTAATTGTGACTTTCCAAATTGTCACACTTTTCTTGTGGATGTGATCCATCTCATAGAGTTTCACCAAATTTTGGTGTCTATAAATACCCCCTACTTAAAGGCTTATCAGCGTGTAGACTCGAATATGAGACTTGAAGTACCCTTAAAAATAGAGTTTCAGTCTTTGCGGTTAGTGGATTCAGATTTGCATTTGATTTGTGAGAGAGAAGATGAAGGGTAAATTGGGTCACACTGGGTGTGCCAATTTATTTGCAATTTTTTTGGTCCCAAATACAAAAAATATATTGCAATCAAATAGTAATAAAAAGAATAATTTTATTCATAAAGATTGTGAGTAAAAATATTTTTATTACTTGTTTCCTCTCTCTTAAGATTTCTCCGTGATTCAAGGGCTGTTAGTATCACTCAAACTAAGGATTATGTGGACCTCCTTAGGATTTATTTGAACTCCATGAAATGATTTTATGGATCTTGTTAAAAAATTTGGTTGCCAAGAAGAGTGCACCCACATCATCATCACTTTACGAATATTTCATGAATATATGAAATTTTAGAAATGCCTATTCGAGGAAATATATTACACTATATATAAGTAGTCTCTAAGAACCTTAAATAAAATGGGACTCATCTTGTAGAGTCCCACATAATTTTGATATCTCAAATGTCGAATTCTTAAATAAATTGGACTCATCTTGTCCCGTGAAATTTTTTTGGTAGTTCACTTAACTGTCTTGTTGGATAGAGTTCTATTATTTGATTGACTATTCCAAAAGAGGTCTTATGCTTATAAATGTAGTATCTAATAGAAGCCAATATCAACAAAGATCTCACACTTCCAAGCACATTCGGGAAAGTAGTTTCACTCTCCCATCCAAATGTGGACACGAGGTCCAATTTCTCAAATTCCTCGACAGTACTACATATCTGCCTTTGCAGATCTAGCGCTAGGCATGAACAATGTGCTCAAGCATACTAGCCTTAACTTCAGATTGAACAGAGCATTCATTATTTACAAAAGTAGACCGCAAATAAGTAATTAGTCTTAGAATCAGTCTTGAATATTTGAAATAGAGATGTGTTGTAACAACATAATCTAGCACTACATCTCCAAGACATTCCAAGTGCTAATAGCATCGTGGAATCTCAGGTAGAATGTAATATCCGTGAGTTAGCGCTTTAATAAGCAGCGAAGGGTCATGAAACTTGTAATGTAGCAGTGATTTCCAAGTGTCGTACATTGAATAGCTTCTTAGCATTCACGATGAAGTGCCTTTGCATAGGTGCATCAATAAAATCAATGTCCATCCCAATCCATCTCATAATGATAAACCTGCTACTTTGTCCGCCCGAGCTGAGGTAGGCACCTATTAGTTCCTCAACTCCTGTGGGGAAGTATCAACTTTATCATTTATGAAATGGTTTGGATTGCACATTGATTTTGTTGATGCACCTATGCCATGTGAATGCTAAGAAGATAGTTAATGTCTGGTACTTTGAATTCCTGCTACTTACAAGTTCCATGATTCTTCACTGCTTGTTGAAGCTGTAAGTCAAGGATTATACATGCTACCTGAGATTTCACGATGGTATCAACATTAGGAATTCTTGTAGATACAGTGCTAGATTACGTTGTTACAACACATTTTTATTTCAAATATTTGAACTGACTCCATGACTAATTATTGATTTGAGGTTTTCTTCTATAAACAATGACTGATATGCTCAATCTGCAGTTAAGACTGGCATGCACAAACACTTTTTTAATGCCTCACTAAATCTGCAGAGACAGATGTACTGTTGAGAATTTGGATCTTCTATCCACGTTCGAATGGAAAGCTGAAACTACTTTTCAAAGGTGCTTGGAGATGTTGTTGGTGCGACCTTTGTTGATTCTAGCTTCGACAAAGATACTTAATACATTTCTTAACATAAGACCTTTTGTAGAACCGTTGGTTACACCTCAAACAATAAAATTCCAACCAATAAGAGAGTTAAGTGAACTATGTGCCCAGAAAGGTTATTAAAAAAAGAAATCAGTTTCTTCATGAGACAGAGACTCGACATTTGTAGACATTCAAATTGTGTGGGACTCTACCAGATGAGTCCAACTTCAGTTGGAATTCTTGAAGATTAATCCTAGCTCACACTATATAAAGGGTACTATATTCCTTAGAGAAGGATCTCGAAAATTTCATAAATTCATGGAACATTTACAAAAAGATCAAGATGTGGGCGGACTATTCGTGACAACAAAATACTTCATGAAAGTTCACAAAATCCTCTTTACATGGAGATTAAATAAAATTTATTTTAGATGCAAATTATCCAAACATAAGAATCAAGAAAGGGACAAAATCGAACTTAAAAAAACTGTTAATTAATAAAATATTATTATTTCTTTATACATAAAATTTATTGCAAATCAATTGTCTCCTAGAACCCTAAATAAAATTTATATTTTATTTTGGGGTTTAATAATTTGGATCTGAGTTGAAGAATTGGTCAGAATCCATTCAACGTTGTAAAAAGATTGAATATTTATTGATCAAATTCTTCACTCAATAGTCAAATAGATCGTTTGATGAAATTAATTAACCAGACGAGAGTAAAGATAGATTGAGTGTCTTTGGGGTCTATCTCATACCTTCTAAATAGTATTTATCTCCAAAAAGTTTGGAGATACACAAAATTTGATGAAGTTTAACTTAATATAATGAGATTGACCTCAATTAGTATAATTAACATTGTTCATTGATATAAGATGTCACATTTCATTTAATTATGAGAACTATCTCTGTGGATGGAGTTAATCCATCTTGTGGATATAACAATGGTGTGTTGCTTCTATATATGTGTTTGTTTTCCATCTTTAATATTATTATCTTGTAAAAATTAAGATAGTTTGGACATATGAAGAGAAAATGTGTAGATGACGTATCGATGAGGATGTGAGCCAGGTTGGCTATAGAGGGTGCAAGGAAAGACAGAGGTAGACAAAAGAAATATTGGAGAGAGATGATAAAACATAATTTAATGCAACTTCAAATTACCGAGGACATTACTTTATATAAAAAACTATGGAGGATACATATTAGGATATCAAGTTAATAGGTGGTGTATGGATATCTTGCTTACAATGGTTGGTGTTTATCATTATATATACACCATTGTTTATTCTTGTTTTAAATAATCTATCTCAGTAAATTGTTCATTGATTTATCGCATTACAATGTTGTTGTCTCTGCACTCTGCCGATAGATTTTGCATCGTTTTCGTGTTATTTACTATTTTTTTATTTTTACTTGAGCCAAGAGTCTTTCAGAAATAATCTTTTACCTTTACGAGATAATAGCAAAATGTACATATATTCAATTCTTGTGATATTTCATTTTTGATATTTCACTAATTGCTAAACTATTTTTATAAATGACAATTCGGTTCACTATTCGGATTCAAGAAAGTCAAAAGCAAGAGTTTATTGTAAGTCATAATTTTACTCAATAATTATACCGAAAATTATTTTCACAGCTCAAATTCGTGATTAATCCGAGTCCACAAGACCTGATTGGCAACCTTTGTATTGCCATTTGCCACTCTGTAGCCATTTTTCTCTTAGGATTCAAGTTCTCCCAGTAAAAAGGATCTAAAAAAGTTGATGTTTTTCTGAATAAATCAGCAAAATTTAAGGATGGAAAATGGGTTTACTGCAGAAGATCTGTCGAAGATCGGAGGTATTGCTACCGTATCACTGCTTCATTCCTTCATCCCAACTCATTGGTTGCCATTTTCCATTGTGGGTCGTGCTCAAAAATGGACTCTTTCAAGAACCCTTTTCGTCAGTTAGTTCTCTCCTCCTCTCTTTTAATTGTATAATGTTTGTTTGGAGTACAGATCTTTGCAGAAAATGAGCTGAAAATTCGTAATGGGTGTTTGATTATGTGATTGAAATTGAGTTTTTTTGTTGATGGAAGTGATTTATTTACCAATTAGCATGCCCCTTTGATTAATCTGCTAGTAAGGAAGAAGAAATTGGGGAGTTTTGAGAAATGGGTGAATTTCGATTATGTGGTAGGAATCGAATGTTGTGTTGTGAGCTGAGGGTCTATTGGAGATAGCCTTTCTATCCTTACTAGGTTGGGGTAAGATTGCTTACACAACTCCCTCCCCAGAACTGACTTATAGGATTATGTTGGGTACATTGTTATGGTAATTGATTATTGTGTTGCTGAGGTAATTTCAGTATGAACTTGCTCATTTCTTGATTAATCCACTGATACTACATCCTGTAAGTAAAGGTGTCAGGGAAACTGCGTATCGAAGCTTAGCAGATAGATTCAAGTCACACTGAATGTTGTTCCTGGAGTTCGAACCTAGTTTTCTTTGGGTTGTTAATCCTATGCCTCGGCCAGTCAGTTATTCTCTTGAGATAATGAATATAGAGTTATCGTATAGTGTAACTGAATTAGTATGGGATTGAAGTGCAATAATTGTTTATAATGGGTTTTCATGTCTTGCATAAAGAGACAATTGCGTTTAATTATGCTGATAAATCTCGATGCTCCTCGAGGGACCTGTTGTGGGCGCTTTTCTTCTGCTACAATTTACATGCTCATAGGGTCTCACTGACTGCTAAATGTAATCTTGGACACACATTTGCTGTTAGGACACCTAAACTGATGTATGCAAGACTATGTACTTGAAAGATGTTGGGAATCTATCTCGATTCTCGTGTAAATGAAAGGTTGCTGTTCTAAGTAGAAGAATGTAAATAATGATTTAATTTATAATAGGAAAAAATGTTGACTTCAGTGTGAAGAAAAGAGGAAAAGGGTGTTACTTTAGTTCACAAGGAGGTCCCAAAAGGAATGGTTGGGTGAGTGAGGCATAGGAGCAATAATTTAGAGATCCTAAGTTTGGATCTGTACATAATTCTTAGTGTGAACTCATCCTTTATAGCCTTTGTGGGCAGTTAGGATGTAACACGTGACACAATGGATTAGTCGAGGTATATACAACTATCATCATAAAAGTAGTTCATAAGGAAGAAACATAGATGTATCAACTTTCATTTTGATTTATTCTGTAGGTCTTAGATCATCTTGTCACTGAAATTTTTGATCTGATTTCTTTTCCCAATGTGATCCAATCTAGAACTTCTTTTGCTTCAAAGATAGCCCCTCATTCCATTTTTGTATGACACTTGTTCCTTTATAGTCTGTTCGAAAAAGAATGACTACTTCATGCCTACTAAAACACCACTATATAAAAACGAAACAGAGGGGCTGCATCCTAAGTTACATGTAGTTTATGCATTAGCAATCTCCTATTTACTGCCAATACATAAATGATAGACAAGATTATATGAAATAAATCATGTAGCTGCTTTCATCCGTTGTCTTATGATTGTTTTGTTGATTTCTGGTGAGGGAATCAGTTGGCGTCCTTGATATTGCAGTTTGAAAGTAAATGACAAACAAGATTATAAGAAGCTTTGCTTGAAAAACACCTAGAATGGGAAAGTAGTCAAGTACTATGAGCTCCTTAACCGGGTATCGACTTGTTAGAACTGAGATTTCTAGATTCCTGAGGTCTAATTTAAACTAAATTTGCATTTCTCCTATTTCCCGAATCCTCTTTAAAGAACACAGGTACGTTGAGAGTTGTTAAGTTGGCTGGATCATCCAAAATAACCACTTTGCCTGATGTTTATGAAGCTTGGATAAAAACGCTTTGTGGATATAAAGTGTGATCTAGTTAGGTAAAATTTAATTTACTTTTGAGTCGGGAATTGTTTTTAAAAGCCAAATATCGCCAAAGTTAGACATACAAAATCCTGTCACATCATTTGGTAAGAGAACTATGTTATTATGTTGGTTCCTACTTTTTTCTATATGACCATAATATTATTTACCTTCTCAAATATAAAGTAGAATTTATATCCTCTTATTGTAAGCTTATCTAAAATTAGTGAATTTTTATAGGTTAAGTATCATTTGAGTTTCTCTGACCAACCACCTTTTTCTCCCATATTAAGAATTTTGAAGTCATTCTAGAATTTTATATGCCCTTTTCCCATTTGTTTTTGTGCTTTGGCCTAGTCGATATTTTAAAATTTTAAATAATGTCTACTATGGCCATAGTTACTTGAATATCCTTTTGGTAACTTTAATTTCCAAAATTTGTGTCTTGTAGTACTTTCTTTGTAGTTTCCAAATATCTAAATTTCACCTTAACATTTAATTATTGATGGTTTAATTCAACCTTGAAGTTATTACATTAGAACCTCTTTATCGAATTAGATCATTCATTTTCACACTAAAACAACTACTAAAAAGCAATTTAAATTCAGTTGAGATTCATTGAATTAAGTAATAATAACTGTTTTTTTATCACTGCTGGATGCAGCTGCATTTGGAGCAGTATTGCACGTGTTATCCACCTCACTTCTTGGCATAACGGCAATAACGATATCAAACACAATTGCTGGGGAGGAAACAGTGCACAAACTGGCTTCCTTACTGCTTGTAGTTCTTGGTGGTAGCTATGTCATCTTACATCTCTTTGGAAAGGGTGGTCATAGCCATTCACACAATCAACCAATGGAGAAGATGGCTGTGGCAGGGCTTATACTTGTCCCTGCTCTGTCTCCTTGCGCAACCACTCTCCCTGTATTTCTTGCTGTTGGAAATTCGTCCTCCATGATGGTGCTTGCCATCATAGTTTTACTTTTCAGGTATTAATTTGATTTTAAATTTTCATTGTACACTACGTAACTGTACTCCAAACCTTTCTGTTCTCAGACTTTCTCGTTTTGTAGACATATATTAATCTTGATATATTGCAATAATACTTGGTCTTGTTTGAAAAAGAAAGAGAAGGAATCAGGGGTTGGGGTTTAGCTGATGTAACCAATACTTGGTATTGTTCAAATCCAGTTGCATTTTTCTGTTAACCGTTTGACACAACATTATTTGGGCTCCATAGAATTATCTAATTGCATTTCGTTAGATGTATTTTGAGGTTTCATTGACTGTTGGAAATGACTTTATTAGACTTGCATTACTACTTTCTAGACTGCCCAGGACTTTGGATCAGTATTAAGGATGCCAACACATGATGTGAAGATTAGGTGCATCTCACGAGTTCAAACCCTGTCAAAGATGAAACTTTGGTATTTAAGTTGGGAAGAGGGTAGAGATGATTCATTCTCATATCCCTAGGAGTTTCAAACTTGTGCACCAACTGGACTTGGGCCAGAAGCCTACGGAGGATTTCTCTGGTCTGATATCAGAAAATTTATAGCCTTTTAAGACAGACTTCTTCAATCTTTTTGGTGATTAGAATAGATGTAACTTTTCCCCTCTCACGATTTATAAACATATACAGTCTTAGGATTCGGAGAATTTTGTTTCTTTATTGGCACACTAGTATCATTTACTTCTTTTATGTATCTGAACTTTCCAATGTGTAACATAAGTTCATACTTCATTTGCAGCACGATTACTGTTATGACCTCATTGGTGGCTCTATCATTTTATGGTGCAAGTCAACTCAAGTTTCAATGGGTGGAACGCTACGATAAGCTCCTCGTTGGTTCTGTGCTGTGTTTGGTGGGCATTTTGACCCTTCTTTTTCACGATCACGATGATGTAGGTTCCTCAGGAGTCCACGTGCACAGAAAACTAAAAAGTTTGCTGTAGGAGTTACTCTTCAGCCAGTGAATCTGTTAATGCAAAGAGATACACAAACTTCCCCATATTCCAGACGCAGGGGTCGACTTTTCTGTATGAGGTCTGAGGATTCACCATTTTCCAGTTGAGTAATCTCGTTTTGCAACCAGCTCATGATGCTCTGGCATGGTTAAAGCCAGCATGGGGTTTAGGGCAGTTCATTTTTGTTTAGATTTGTGTTAAAACTTTCAATATAGCAACTACAAGAGGATATGTATTTTAAAGGATTTTCTTTTGAACCCTTTTCTTTGTAAATGTTAAAAGTGTACAATACTCGTTGGGGGAATAAACCGTTCTCTTCTTATATAGTCTTTGACAATCCTCAGCTTATTGTAGAGGTAACTTTTGTGATTGTGTTAGATTCATGGTTCGTCTTCTTTACGGCAAAGACGAAGAATATACATTAGATTGATAAGTTCCTACTTGTGTTTTCAGTATTGAATTTGGAAATTGAAGGAGATGAACATCAGTGACAAAAGCTAGTAGAAGAATATAGTTAAAGAAAGGGAAAAAAAGACAAATGTACTATCGAACTATTAAAAATGATATACAGATACTTTCTGTCGTACTTTTGGGACATCGTTGCTCCTGTCGTTCAAAAATTAGATTATATATACCCTTTATACTAACAGACATACACTTGTCATAATCTTATTCACCGATCCGACATCAGATCGATGGGATAAGATTTGTCACGTGTCTCTATTTAGTATTCTGTTAAAGTGAAGAGCATATATGCTCTAATTTTTTCACAGCAGGGACACCAATGTCCCAAAAGTATGACGGAAGGTCTACATACCATTTACGATAGTTCGGGGTATATGTATCCTCTTTCCCTTAAAGAAATAATGTTAATTAGTGAATGAGTTTAATAGAGGTACAATAAATAAACTTAAACTCGACCTCGACTAGTAAGTAAGAACGTCTAGACACTTCACTTTGGTCTCAACTGGCAACTAGATACTCCAACTCATTCCTGTCTCGTAGGATACTTGATGCTAATATGACTAAGTAGAAACAAGTTGAGATATTTAGACGTGCATACTCAAAGTAAAGACATTTACTTTCTAATTAAAGGCCAAATTTGAGCGTCTATTTAATATTATATGCATTTTTACAATAGATAGTTAACCAAATTATGTTGTGCAAAAAAATCCCTAGAATTTCCAAGTAAAGTCTCATAAAGATCACCATAGGTTGTCGTCGTGGGATGAATAACGTCATTTCACATAATTCTCGTGTAAAGAGCTTTATGAATAAATTCAGATTAATCGAAACAATAAATACTCAAACTAGAGAAAAAATAAAACCAATGTTCAACTTCTCTATAAATGAATTAACTAACATTTTTCAAGTCTATAAAAATACAAGCATTTTTCTCAAAACCAAAAGAGAAAAAAGTAATTACATAATTTCTACATTATGTTTTTTAGTATATAGTATTATACTAAAAATAATCAAAAATCAAATTTAAAAACGTTATTAAACCTTAAACCCTCTACCAAAGCCTCACACTATAATCACAATCTTTAGATACCAATTTCGACTTAACGGTCAAAACATCCACCGTTAAATCACACTTAACTTTAACGATAACTTCCCACGTCTTAACGGCCCCAATCTTAATCTTAACCGGCGCTTTAATATTCACTCTAAACGGCACTTTCCCTTTTCTCTGTTCATTTCTCAACGTCGATTTAACGGCGTTTCCAAGTATAACGTTTGAACCCTTTAACGCCGTTTGAAAAACCGTTACATTATTCACCGGCTGATAAAACGCCGGCAATACACCGGCGGATAGATCCACGCCGGAGTAAACCACTGTAACAGAACTTCCTTTCCGGTAGTAAATCCCTAATTTGTTATTCGGGTTTTCAGATCTGACAGAAATGTCAAACTCCGGCGAGATCTTAGACGACGACGTGACGTTGAAATTCTTAATCGCGATGCTGGAAATGGTGTATTTTGGTGCTTCAGGACGGTAAACAAGGAAGAGAACTCCGGCGGTGATTCCGATTGATATAATGAGAAAAAGTAGAACAGAGAAAGTGAAGCAGAGACAACGACAGCAGCAGCTCCGGCGAGGTTTCCGTTTAGTAAGCGACTCATACCGGCGAGAATTCTCCGGTGGAGGATACTTGTAAATTTGATCCTTCGGAACTTGAACTACGTAAGTCCCCGCCGGAGGTTGTATAGGTTTCGCCGGAGATGGAAATGATGGTTTTTTCGGTGAAACTACTTCGCCGGAGTTGTTTGAAGACGGTGGATTACTTGATGATGATGGTAAATCCATAGGATATACTCGATCCGCCATCGTACTACAAAATCAAATCGAAAATTTCGATATTCAAATTCGATATCTCCAAATAAATAATAAAATTTTTTACTTGTAACTACAAAAAATTTCAATATTCAAATTCAAAAAACGTGAATAGCTCTAATATAGCAAAATGAAAATGGAGTTGTGAGAGTTATGTGAATATATATATTTGCAATGTAATAAAAGAAAAAAAAAACCGCGTTAGACGTAACGCGCAATATTAACGGGTATTTTAATTTAATAATAATTAATTTCATTTATTATATATATATATATATATATATATATATATTTATTTATGGAGGTTAGGTATTTTTTTTAATATATATTTTTTGGTACAGTTCATTATTAGTTGTAAAGCATAAATAAATTAACGCAAGTAATTTATTACAAAAGTAACCGCAAATACTATTCGAAATAAATCAAAGATATAAAAATATTAAAAAATATCAATAAATATTACATAAATTGAGATGAAAGAATTATTAATTTTTTTAATATATTTGTATGAAAGTGTTATTAGATAAAAAATAATTATTAATAATAATTAATTAATGAAAATTTTTAATTAATATTAAACATATTTTCAAAGAATAATTAACACTCTTTATACATATTTCGCCACGTTGAATCCATAGCCATAGGTATAATTAATTTATTATGAAGTATATTTATTATAATATTGAATAAGACCAAATCTACATGATATTATTATTAATAACGATCAGGCACGTTCTAACCCTATGTATATTTTATTGGTGTCATTATTATTAAGATTGGAATAATGCTAAATAATTAGAAAATTTGGTAAGAATTTAGCTAAAATTTAAAAAGTCTATAAGATTTTTTTTGTTTTAAAAAAACTAATTTTTTATTTTGTAATTAAGGTTTTAAAACTAAATAGATAAAAATATTCGAAAATTAAAATAACATAACGTAAAATATGTTATTTCACTATTCTGGTCAATTCTGAGCAAATTTTTATATATATCATAAAAAGAAATTATAGAAGGTACAAAGAAGCATCTAGTTGCTAGTATAATTATTTTAATCATTTAACTTGTGTAAAAGTAATTTGATGTTTAATTAGTAATTGGATTTAAAATGTCATTAGCTAGCTAGCTTGTGACTTCCTACTAAAATTAATCTAATTGTCATTATCTTATGACTTCATAGAGATGACTTAATTACCCTTTAATTTTAAGTCAATTTATATATATATTTACATATAAACTAAAAATTTAGACTATTTCCCACTTTTTATGTAGAATTTATCAAACCTTTGGGGATATTAATATTGGTGAGGAAGGGGTAAAGTAGAATGAGTAAAAGATTAATGAATAATTCAAACATGAAATAACTAATTTAAAATGAAAATAAAAATAAAAATTAAACTAATCGATAAGTACAGTAAACTGCAAAAGGGTCTTGCTTGGTATAATATAAACGGATGACTTAGTTATAATTAGCTCAGATGTGACTTCTTTGCTCGGTTTGGAGAGCTAGGTCTTATATTATCAAATTCTAATGAAGTATCGAACTTCTACTAATTAACAAACATGAAGATTAGAAGAACTAAATTTTTTATGATCACTACATAGTTTACACTCTATAATGATATTTCAAATGAAAATATTCAAGTAATACAAAATTATAAAATTTAAGAAGAAAAATGAGTTTTCATTATCTTTTTTACCTATATATATTCGATATTTTATACCAATACATAATCTGATAAATACATAATAAGTTTTCTATTTCATGTTAATCACTAAAGTATAGTTAAGTAATTAATAGGCATTATCACCTCAATTATCACTTAATAAATGACAAATTTTTATCATTGGCTCTATATTCTACATTAAGTTATTGGCTTTACACGATTAGAAGTGGATTTATGGTGGTTACTCTAGATATAAACTCAATAGTTTTTGTCTGATTATGTATATACATTAAGAAATTTATTAGCAAATAGCAAAGGAAATTACTATTTGCAGAAAATGTTCTTACCTAGTTACCTACACCCTACTACTTTTGTAGTTAAATTGGTTAAGTGCAAAAAAAATAGAGCATTATCGTTAATTAGTCTGACTCTCATATTCTGAATTAAGCCACATAAATCGAAACGCATATAGGAATATAAAAAAGTATAAATATAAATTAGTTTGACTCTCGTACTCTGAATCAAACCACATACAATTGAAATATATATAAGAATATAAAAGAATATGTACGTTGATTAGTTTGACCTTCTTACCCTGAATCAAACCACGTAAATTGAAACATAAGAATATAATTGGCAAGAAGAAATCAAATTACCTCAAGACACAAGAATTGCAAGTATGGATGAGAAAAGCACACACCACAATCCTCTTAAGATCTTATTGGCACACTATAGAAAAGATATGTGATATATCTTATTGACTAAGCCTTCTTAAGAAGGAAGATATATTTGCACAAATAAGGGTAGTTAGAAATGAGTTGAATTTGTTTATTTATTAGAGGAGAAGAAGAGCACAAAAAGAATAAAGAAAAGTAAGGAGAGGGACAATTTTATTTTAATTATAATACAGCAGTGAGACTGTTTCATTTTTAATTAGAATTTCAATCTGAATTATAGTACGACAGTAAGACTATTTTATTTTTAATTAAAATTTCAATCCGTTGAAAGTAAAACTCTCAAAATAAGTCAAGCATTATGTGATTCAAACTTAATTGTAATTTCATTGTTCTTCAAGATGAGTTAAAAATGAGAAAAGAAGAAGACAACATAAACATTGTCTTAGTCTATTAGTCTTTGTCTTCATTGAAAAAGTAAAAATAATTAAGAAGAAAAATAAGGTATTAATTAGCTTATTTTATTGCGGACTAAAGGGAAATTAAACTATAGATGCTAAAATATCATATGCATTAACATGACTTGGCCAAATGGAGTTTGTATATTCAAGTTACACCTTGTAAATTTCAATTTTTCAAGATTCATTTCAATATTCTTGTGTTTACATTTGGCATTGTCATG